CAGCTCCTAATACTGGACCGATATCTTTGTAATTGCCAGTAGGCAAAGGGGATGCAAAGACTGCCAGGGTAGCCACCCAAAGGCATAGCAAAGCTAAAGCGGGCGAGGAGGTGCTTCGGGGTAGTAACATCGAGGTCCGAAACATTTAACAAACGGAGTCTGCGAGACAAGTCAAAAGGAAATTTCTACAGTGGCGAAGTCGATGAAATCAAAGGAGCAAGAATAAGGGGACGTTTCTAGTGTATGCAGGATTAGTATATGAGTACCAAAAAAAAAAAAAAAACAAGGAAAGGGGGGTTTGAAACCGTACTAAGAATTGTGAAAGAAGATTTTGTAGGAGTTGGCCAGCAATCCTAAGTGGTACGAAAAATAAAGGGAGGGCGAGAGCCTTTGCAACACCAGATCAGCCCAGACGATGAAGAGCAAATGGAGGAGGATACATACCGAACCCAGTGCGAGGATAGTAGTATGAAAGGGTGGGATGAATCGAAGAAAAACTAACGCCTTTTGAAGCTTTTTTGCCTGAGAAATTCAAGCCCTGCATTACTCGCTGTCGGCTAGTGTAAGCTGTGTAGACCCCAGCGAAGCAAGTGTGAGTCCAGGGGTGAATATCATGGGTGAGCGGCGGAGGCCTGTCACTTGCAGTTACCTTTTACTAATGCACAACCGAACCTAACCGAACCAAAACCAATGCCAATGCCTTTTGAGCTCTTTTGAGGCTTTTTGCGAGAGCGAGTGGTTCCCGTTTATCCAAGTACAAGTACTTGGAACCAGATCAAACCCTGGATAGATAGAGATCGATGTGCATCCGATGGACAATAGAAAGGAACGTATTGAGGACAGGAACCCGAAGTGCCAGTTTCCTAAGTTGCAATGATACATACAAGTATTGATCAACGTAGCAAGACAGTTTTCAATCAGGTTTCAATGCATGTGGTTGAGTGGTTTCTACATACAGTGCTTTGCGTGTTTTCTTTGGGCAATGGGTTGCTCGAATTTTTTCTTTTCATTTGTGGTCATTTATTTGTCCAATATATTCTGCCCTAATAGTAAAAAGGATTTCAGCAATAGCTTTTCGAAGCCCGACGGCCCCAACAGTTCCCCCCCCTCTCGAGCTATTATAACCCATACTTTTCTAATACCCTTTGCAAGCCCTACCGTGAATGATTGGCAAAAAAAAAAAAAAAAAAAATGCCATCCTTTCGGGTCACAAGTCTTCCCAGGCCCAACACCGTGACCATGCTTGGTTAACACTTGACCTCTTTGCTAGTATGCTACTCTCGTTCATGGGTGGTTTTTGCAGAGTCACCTTTGTCCTGTTGCGAGTTCTCCTAGTACTATGGACGGTGCCTACATCACAGGTCAGTTGTATGAAACTATGATGGTTCCAGGAGTTGCTGACCCGAGCTAAAGTGATGGCTATAGGGGGGGGGGGGTCCTATCACGAAGTAGGGTGTAATTGTCAGTGGAGATACGTCGCTCAACGCCATACAAGATATCCCTCTCGAAAAAAGCGCAGTTCCAACCAACGACAAAAAAACCCATGAAGGAGCGCGGTTCATCGATTAAAGAATTAACGGTTTGTCGTCATAATGTAATGGTGTTCCTCCTTCGTAGTAGAGCCTTGATCTTGTTTTAATATGTACCAGCAGCCACTGCTTCCCTCGATGATGCCAACTCTTTTAACTATAACAACACTTGTCCTCAGTGTCTCCGACTGAGATCTCGAAATCTCCTCGGTCAAAAAAGGTGTACTACATAGTCCTGATGAATTTCCTCAGGAGGTCACCCTATAAGAGATCCTTGAACAAAAAAAAGAAAAAAAAATGCCATCCTTTCGGGTCAAAAGTTTTTTTTTTTTTTTTCCTAAGCGGGGTTGCATCCGATTCAACGTCCCTTACCCGTCTATGCCGAACCAAAACCCATCTTCCCTCTACCATCTACCACCCACGTACTAGGATACGGAGTACCTAGGATCTGGTAAAACACGAGGACAATACATGTAACAACGGCGAGGTGAATCGCGGAGTCAAGTTCCTTCCACTCATTTACAGACTGCAGATCTTCAGAGTTTCAGACTTTCCCGGGTGTACGGGGGTGGAAGTGAGAGTTCCACTTGACAAAAATGTTTGGAACCGCATTATATATTCCTTCTAGCCGATTTGAACGACTGACCTCGTCATAAACTAGGTAGTACTAGTGACGCGCTCTACCAACTGAGCTAAGCAGGAGACGTGAAGATAGGAAACGCTGGGCGTCTAATATTGGTTTATGACGTCGTAAGTGATCCCTGACGTCAAGTATGAGGGAACGATATAAAGTGAAAAGACGTAACTCTTTTCTTTAAACCACGATGATTCGTTCGATATTCGCGACGACGTTTACCCGCCCAGCAAGATTTCCAAGTCATATCCTTATTACACCCCTCGCCATTAATAAACCCCGCCCCACTATCTTTGTTCGCTCAGTCGCATCCACCGTCTCCAACAAACCCGGTTCCCAGACCTTCGACCACGCGGCATTGAATATCCGAGAAGAAGCCGGGAACACCGCAGCGGATGTAGCTAAATCCATCGCAGGAGGGAATATGCCTGCCTCGGATCATTCGTTCGTGGCGATAACCTCGTCCATGGCGTCGAGTGTTCCAAAACCCGTGTTAGTGTTTGGGTTGCTTGGGACGATACCGTATGTGGGAACTGGAGCGACGACGGTGTATCTGGCGAGTGTAGCTGGGGCTAACCAGACGTCTATCGACCCAGGTGTAGCACTAACCCTCCTCGACCAATCCCTAAACATCCAAGTAACCTACGGCGCAATCATGTTATCTTTCCTCGGTGCGTTACACTGGGGAATGGAATTCGCCTCTCCCCGACCCACACAATCCCAATCCATCCGTCGGCTTCTCCTCGGCGCCGCCCCTCTGTTCTTCGCCTGGCCGACACTAGCACTCCAACCCACCACCGCCCTCCTCGTCCAATGGGTGGGCTTCACCGGTCTCTGGTGGGCCGACGCCACCGTCTGCGGGATGGGGTGGACTCCACCATGGTATTCCCAGTACCGGTTCTATCTCTCCATCCTCGTCGGGACGTGTATCATCGGGTCCCTCGCTGGGACGTCGTATTACGGGCCTGTCGCGGGACATGGGTTTATTTCCAGGGATCTCCAACTCACGAGGGAGATGAGGAGGGAGGTTAAAGGGGAGAAGGAGGGCACGGTATCTGGGGTGGTGGAGGCTGTCCCTGCGGACTCGAAGGACGGGGCATATGTCGTGTTGAGGAAGAGGGATTTGACGAGGGAGGTCCAGGAGAAGCAGGAGAAGAAGGCGAAGAGCGAAAGGAAGTGATTGAAGGATGTGTAATTGTATCATAATAGTGTGTATTGCATGTATGCATATCGAGTGTAATCTTTCTGCGAATTGTCACCAGCGAGTTGACAAAAGTCCTCCACCGTTCCTCATCATCAACCATCCCTCATTCCCCACCTGTCTAATGCTGAAGAAAACAAGGTTTGGTCCTCGATTGGATGCCTTGTTCCTCCATTGAATACTATTCCTCAATCCCGAGTATTAGTATTCCTATATTCCTGGATCGGGGTGGAAAAGACCCCTTGCAAAATGTGGTGACCGGTGCTGCAACTTGTGATTTTCCCGTCAACCCGCGTTCCACCCTGGGCCTGTGCTCGTATGTACGGTGGTACGGCTTGCCTCTTCCCGAGCGACTCGATCGGGCGTGGGCTTGGTAGAAATCTTCACCGTTCGATTGCCGAATCGTTATCTGAAGCTTGCCAACTTGAGACGGGGTCCATCTCATCATCGACGCTAGGACCCGCGTAGTACGCCTTTTACTGCCGACCCCCCCCCCTGTCCATGGATGGGATTTCGCGGTTCGAGCTTGATTCATCCACACAATCCTGTTACAGCGGGGGATAGTAGGATCTTCTTCGTGAAATCGTGAATACCATGGCATTCTTCTCAGACTTTGAGCCTGAGAGAGTTATCTTCCAATCGGAGGAGAAAGAAAAGCAAGAGTTTGAAGAGCGTTGGGTATTGATAGTGCGCAACGCGGTGTCTAGTTGAGGTTGGGGATAACGGCTCGGAGGGAAGAAGATGAACTTGAATGGTCCCATCCGTCGTCTTGAACACACACACGGCTTCTGCATTCCCGCCAACAATCCTCCCCC